ATTATTATTATTGTTATTATTATTATTGTTATTATTATTATTGTTATTATTATTATTGTTATTATTGTTATTATTGTTATTATTATTATTGTTATTATTATTATTATTGTTATTATTATTATTATTATTCCATAAAAACTAGGTAGCTGGATTTTTAGGGTAATATCCCTGCCCACATACAGCCTCGCATATTTAAATTTAGCCTTCTCGCACACCCGAATATCATGTACGGCCCCGCCGAAATTTTGATGGAGAAGTTAACGGGAACTATAAAAGCTGAAACTTTATGGTAATGTCCTCTGCATACATACAGACACGCAGATTTGAATTTAGCTTTCCCATGCGCTCGGGTATCAAATACGTAAGTTGTCGAAAAAATTATCTCGGGAACCACGATAGCTAGGAAGCTGAAATTTTGGTGTGGTGTCCTCGGGCACTTACGACCCGCATATTCAAATTCAGCTTTCACGTGCGCCTGGGTCTCAGTGTCCTTGTGAAAGTCCTGGAGCTTCAAATTCACTTTTCGCGCAAGACTGGATTTTACGTACGGACGCGTGGAAGTTGTGGTAGAATACTTTTCAACTCGGACACCAGGTAAGATTGCTGAAATTGATGTTTCCTGTCCGTGTGTGATCTGGAAATTTAAATTCTCACTACGACAGCATCTTACATACGGAAGACAAAGCGTCAGCTCTTTTTAGGTGAAACTCCCAAATCATTGCAATAACGTGGCTCAGCCTTTTGGAATAGTCCGTTCAGACACTGTTTCAACAAAACTATATGTGGGTCGCGTGTGGAATACGCTAACTGAACAGGATATTTTCGATGCTTTAGATGCTGAAGCAAAGAAGGTCTCCCCTTTAGCCAAGGTCAGTTCACTTTATATACATGTAAAGCAAGCCCAGATTTGATCATTTTGGTCAGGAAGGCATCACTGCTGTTGGTATGAAGTTACTTTTTTGCTCCTTTTCATCAAGAAAATATATATTGTCAGTTTTGTTTATTGTTGAGGTGGAGCGAGTTTTCATCCCAAAACCTCATCGTGGTTTCGCATTTGTGACTGTCAACGACCCGAACGTAACCAAACGGTTCTGTCAAATCCGTGATTTTCTGATTCGCGGCAAAAGTGTTTGCGTCAGTCTTCCAACACCGAAGAGCAATACACAAATCCTAACTTCGCCACAGCAGCACCACCAGCAGCAACAGCAACAACAGCAACAGCTACAGTTTCCCGGTATATATCCGAGTCGATTTCAAATGCCGCAACAAGCTCCGTCGCAGACATATCCAGCGCAGACCAGCTACGTCTCAAACCAGTACCCACAACAGCATCAGCAGCAGAACTGGATGAGCCCACGGAGCAACCCATCATCATATCGGCAACAGCAGCAACCCGTCAGCTCTCATATGGCATTTGCGCAACAGTGAAAATGAATTACAGTTGTTGATTCCCTTAACACTTAACACTGCGTGTGCGCTAATTTTGCGAAATAACATTGATTTGGAAGAATTTAACGGAAAAGTTGTACAAGAAAGGGAAGTAACAAGGGCCGTTCCCCATTCCTCCCTCCCTATGAGCCCCTCATCGAAAGTTTTACTTTGTGATGTTTTACATTGTAATAGTTCCATTCTCTTCAAATAAATTAATTTTGGCTGCGGCGCAGTGCGCCAGATGAAAG